TAATGAGAGCAGGGCCAGGAGCAACCTGTATCCTTTATTTCTTTCTGTAGAAAAGATGGCTTTGGCGAAATGATTGGAGACAGAATAGCTAATAGAATATTAGCTTCTGCATCTCTTGGAAGTTCTGTTCTCTGATTTTCACATTTAAGGAGGCCCTGAAATTTTTCATTATGTCTTGTTATACTTATAGGAGGAGTTACATGCTTTAGTGCTGCTATTCTTTGATTTGAGAGTTTGCTAAGGTCTCTGGATAATTCCATTTAGAATTTCAAGGGCCTATTTTATTCTAGATATGTGCCATAAATATTGAACAGTGATAATGAGTTCATGTATCTAACTTAATCATCTGAGACAATTAAATTATCAGTATGAGATAAAATACACATTAAATCTTTTTAAATGCCAATTCATATAGTTTCAGGGTACTTTAGATTTGTTAAAAGGAAACATTCATATTAAACAAATCTGGGATTGAATTCAGACTCCATTAACTTGATAACTGTGACCTGGGGCATGTTACTTAACCAATTTGATAACCTGTAAAACAGAAGTGATAATACATTTCTCATAGGCATAATATATGAGATAATATATATAATGTGCTTATTAGTATATTGCTTGAGATATATCAAGTGCTTGATAAATGTTACCTATTTTTTTAGATGTTAGCTATTATACTAAACGACATACGAATTTAATTATATGAGCCTCATGTAATTTGTCAGTATGATAGATAACATGTCTGCAGTGTGGTTGAGTTTTTATTTCTTAAATTTTTGATAGTAGGGATTGAACCCAGAGGCACTTTACCACCGAGCCACATCTCCAGCCCTTTTTATTTTTTATTTAGATATAGTCTCACTAAAGTTGCTTAGGGCCTCACTAAGTGTCTGAAGCTGCTCTTGAACTTTAAAAACCGCTTTTGAACTTGAAATCCTCCTGCCTTAGCCTCCCAAATCCCTGGGATTATAGGCATATACGACTGTGCCTGACTGAGTTTTCATTTTTAATACAATTATCAGATATCTGGCATCATATAGTCTGGGAAGGCTAATTGATATTTGGCAAGTTGAAAGTAATTCAGAAAATTTAAATGGTCTAGCATTGGTGGCTAGCATATTTCTTATGATTAGTTTCATTGTACATTGGTGGTAAGAATTATTAATTTGGAGATTCTTTAGGACATGGAAGAGGAGGAAGAGGAAAAGCCTAAAAGTAAATTACCTTAATATCAAGCTACTGATTAGTTCGATTTGCTGAATTTTTTTGTTCCATTAGTCATGACATTGCTGCAGAAGCTGAGTATCCTAAATAATTTGTGTCAAAGGTGAAAAAAGCAATGTCTACAAGGCAGAAACCTAGAGGGCCAGATTTAAAGAGGGCATCAGAGATCCTAAAGACACTCATATTTCCTGCTGCTTTAATTTCTGCTGCTGTTATAGCTTGGAATGTTGATATTAATGAAGGTGAGCCCAGTAATCCTAGCTACAGCAGCTAAAGATGCTATACGTAGTAGTATCTGATTAATAGCATGACTAGAGAATGTCAAACAATTTTAAGGGAAGAATTTAAAAACATTTTGACTGAAATAGTAATTTATTTAAATTTCATTCCGTGAAAAGTTTTTGTTAAAGTAACACCAGTCTATTTTAAGTGAAAATTTATGCTTTTTTTGAAATTTTATACTCTTATGGTCAAGAACTGTGAAAGAGTGTTCATTTATTCAAATGAATTTATTTTTTAACTCATTTGATCCCTGGGTTCCTGATTGTGTTAAGGAAGATTTTCAAGGAAGCAGGTCAAAGAATGGCCTTGCATCTTCAATGCAGGATTTACCTGTTCATTCAGTGTTTGGCAAACATAATGATGGAAAAGCATTTATTTTAGATCACCCCTCTCTGTATATTTCTCATATTGGGATTTTAAACTTATTTTTAGAGAAGTTTTAGAATTTTATTTTCATATCAATCATGATCTTTAAAAAAAATCTGTAAGTATGATAAGGGTAGATACCAACAAATGGTAAGGAAAAACACATTGATAGTTTTCTTTATGTTTGTTTTTATCAGAAAAGAAAGAAGTTATGCTTTATGGGTCTTTTATAATTAATAAGTAAATACATATGACTTATAAATAAGTATATATGAGTGTGTCCTCACAAATTTTTAACCAATAGGTAGTGTACGATTTAAAAAAATGTGGAAACCATTTGTTTATATAAATAACTATTATATAACTAACTTGCCATACAGTTGCTCACTTTTTTTTATTTTGAGTTGAGAGAAGGCCACATTACATATGCTTTGTTGTGTGAAAAAGTTTTTACAGGGGCTTGAAAAGAATAAAGTGTGAGAGCTGAGTCATCACATATGGTAGTCATCACATATGGCTTGCCAAAGAATATCATATTCTTGTATGAATTGGTTGTATTTTGGGGATTTTGTTTTTATAAGATAGAAGACAACTTCTTGTTAGTTATTTGTAGGCATGTCTAAGTATGTCTTTAAGGTAAATTATTTTGGTCTTGATTTTAGCAGTGATGGATTTGATACCCATTATGTGCAGATTTAAATAATTGCTGTGGTGCTAACCTTGATAGTTAATTGAAAAATACATTTTAGGGAGTAAGTGAGATCTCATACCTGGCATTCAAGGAATGTTTATTGGCAAAAACTTACTTAAATATAAGGATCTGATTGTCTTTAACAGTAAGCAGAGGCTTAGAAATTTTGAATTGTGTATTGTACAGTGTACTTTTGTGAACAGGTATTTCTTATGTTATTGAATTATATTTGTAATGTTGATGTCAAAATATAGAATGAAATTAAATGTAAGACCAGACCTGAAGCTCTTCTTTTAAACATAACAGTAGTCATTTCATTTTAGCAAAAATAATATCTTTCAAATAGGATTATTGTTTTTAAGAGTATTTCTAGTTTGGTAGTTTTGTTAGATTTTAATTTATAATTTTATCTTGATTCTGTAGTTTTATAAGAAGTATAGCAAACCTAAGTAGCTTACTTGCATGCATATATTAAGTACCATTATAGAGAAAAATTAGCACTTAGACCAAGTAAGAATTTTTATTTTCTACAGAAAAAAAGTTCTGTGCATTTTTTTTTTTTTTTTTTTTACAATCTCAGAAACAGTGAACTAGAATATGTGGTTGGACTTCTAAACCTTTGGAATCCATTCCATTTCCTGACTTTTTCTAATTTACCCACATTATTACAGATAAGATGATTTTTAAGATATATTATGTTTGATCAAGGGTCATAGTACTTATCCTGAGGCTCAAAATTATCTGCAGGAAAAATGTTGATTGAATTTATAATTTTAAGCCAAAATTACTACTTCTTTTTGGTTAATATTGATATATAGATATTAAATAATCATTTAGTTTTATAGAGTGAAATTATCAATAAACAAATGACATGGCCTTAATGTATTCATTTAAATATTGACATTTGTATATCAGTTCATTCTTGTTTAATAAAAATTATAGGATTGATAACAACTTAATGTAAATTAATGATCTTAAGATATAAAAAAAAGAAAATATATTTTCTATTTTAAGAGGAATAACTTTCATCATTCTGGGAGTATGAATCAGTAACAGCTGAAGATCTGATATTTGAATGTGGCAGGATTGGAATGATTTCAAAGTTGAAATCTAGCCAATTTTCAAGAAAAAATCACAATGTTTCAATTTTGAACTTTAATGTATTTGGAACATATGCAGCAGAACATTTTCTTCTTGCTGTCTCCTGCCAAACTAATTATGTATGCCACATTAATTTTTCCCTTAAGTTTTGGAAGCATGAGTATATGGTAGAATAAAGAATTTCCTGATTCATGTTCACTAGTTTTAATGGTAGGATCAAGATAAGAAATATGTAAGAGGTATTTTGAAATTTCCTCTTAAAGAAATGATTTGCAAAAATGAAAATGTTTTATTTACTTAAAATTATTTATTAAATTCCTACTATATGAGAGGCTTTATTACTAAGGCTGTGTGACAGTAGTAAATAGGATGGATAGAGTACTGTCCCTCTGAGAGCTTATATTCTAATGGAATGATGGTGGGAGATGATGGGGATTTCAGATTCATAAATGTCGTATATAAAGTCAAACAAAATGAGTAGCTTAGCTAATTGGAATGATTTGAATATCTGTTTGGAAAGAAGCTTTAAGTTTGGTCAGTAGCCCTTAAAGTGAGAAAGACTTGGCGTATTTCTGGTATAGAAAGCCCAGTTGTGGAAAGAATCTAGTGACAATGGCTAGTAGGGGCTAAAGACAGAAACCAGATTAAATGAACCTTTAAGACCATGTAAATGATTTCAATTTTACTCTAATTATAATGTGAAAAGCTGGGAAGGTTTTAAATGGAAAAGTTTTGGCTTATTTAAGTAAGATCACTCTGGAGGCTATCAGGAGAATGAGCTAAAAGAGGGTGAGACCAGGTAGGGAGATATTCCAACATCTAGTGCAGAGATGATGGTAGCTGGAATTAGGGAGGAGTGGAAATGTGTTCTCATGCCACACTGATCCCACATGCTGATGGATTGCATGCTTTGGGAATTTAAAAGTTAAGTTATTTGGAATATCATTGTTCTAATGTGAACTCTTTAAGTCTAGAGAATGTCTAATGTTACTAAAATTAAAAAAAAAATTGGGTAAGACAGTGTAGTTTCTTTAGCTTCCCTTGGCTATATGACATAAAGTAAACTCTTGGGAAAAAAAATTAAATTAGCAACTTCAAGTTCTGTGCATAAGTTCATGCTAAATTGCCCTATTTCTCTACTTTAAAATTTATGCTATGTAAGAATATGAAAAAAAAACCATAATTAAGGCCCCTTTAAATATGTAGTTGAAAATTTAGTTAGTTTTAATGAGGAAAAGAACGAACATACTTGCTATATGATATAAATAAAATGTCTGTGTTTAACATTTTGGTTTTATTTAAAGAGTATATTTACTGGAACTTTTTTTTCCCCTAGTCACATTGTCCTGATGCTTGCTGATGATATGGCATGCAATCCTAGAAATCCCAAACCAGCTACAGTGTTTAGTCACAAGAATATGGAACTAAATGTGTATGGAGATGATGTGGAAGTGGATTATAGAAGCTATGAGGTAAATTGTTTAATCCAGCAAAATTTTTGAACTGATGTTATTACTTTTATGTCTTAGAGACAGCAGAAGAATACATTAATTGTCTTATTCTTTTTCTTTAAATTTAGTACCTAATTTTTGCTGAGCTTTCATGTAATTTGTCTCTGTAGTTCATATTAAAGAAATAATATGAGTAAAACTACTAAAGTATGAATGTTTCATATGTATTTCTAAGATAGGAAACTTCATATTGGCTTTTAATTAAAGCATTTTAGTGAGGTTTGATGTATTACTTCTCTTTTACAGGAAATGTTATTACTTGTGTTTTACCTTTGCTCAGCAATTTCAAGTTTAGTATTTTTATAAATATATTAATTGTGGAAAAATTGTAATGACTAACAAAACACCATATGTCCACTGCTTAGAGAGTAAACCACTTTTATTTTGCTTCCAGTGTTTTTATGCATATATAATTAAAAGTAAAATGTGTATAAAATGCTATTTTAACTATATTTTCTTCCTTTGAAATTTTTAAATTTAACAGATTATGACAGTGTTTAAATTTTGAAGTCTTTCTAGATAGTTCTTCCTCTTTTACCAGCTAACCAAAAGTAAGACACAGTATCTTTATCTTTACTGAAGCAATTCTAAAAGCATAGCTGACTTCTAAACTGTAAACTCCTCCAGGACATAGCCTAAATGTACATTCTTTTGTACCTAGCAAGTACCTATGTAGTCCTTTGTAGATACTAAAAATATTTTTCAATGAATTAAATGTATATGAATATTTGACTTTTTATTTATTTAGATGCCTTAAAATATTGACCAAAAATATTTCTTCCTTGTTAGTCAGCAAGAGGTCCTATTAAAATTGACATTTTGCTGTCTCTTGGGCAAAATATAGATTAAACATCTTATACATACATATTCATACACATTTATGTACCCATGATGTAGAGAAAAGTCCCACAAGAAAGCTGGATTGATTTTCTATTCTTTAAAGTTATATATGCATAATATATGACTTAGCTCTTGATTTTTACATTTTACCCTCTGGAGGTTTAAATAATGCCCTCAAAGAATTCTAGAGAGCTATAAATTCCAGGTTGGGAAATCTGGTTTAAAGTGTTACGAATTTTTTGCATGTTAAAGATTCTCCTTCTAGGTGTGGTGGCTCACGCCTGTAATCCCAGTGGCTCTGGAGGCTATGGCAGGAGGATCATGAGTTCAAAGTCAGCCTCAGAAAAAGCGAGGAGCTAAGCAACTCAGCGAGACTCTGTCTCTAAATAAAATACAAAATAGGGCTGGGGATATGGCTTAGCTGTTGAGTGCCTCTGAGTTCAGTCCCTGGAACAACCCCTTTCCCCCATAAAGATGCTCCTAACGAAATCCAAGTTTACATAATTCATTCAAAAATTAATGAAACATAATTTTGGGGGATGATTAATAGAACTTTTTTCATTATTTGTTATTGACTAAGTAGTTGTACATATAAGTTGCAATAATGTAACTGTACTTATGTATAAATTCTTATATTTTGTGTCTTTCCAAAGAATTACCTATTCAGACAGACTAGTAATTTTTAAGCTTTTAGGTAAATATTTTTTATTTTATTTTTACAGTATGAAGATTGAATCCAGGGGTGCTTTACATCTGAGTTATATCCCCACTCCTTTTTTTTTTTTTTCCCCCCTGAGACAGGGTCTCACTAAGTTGCCCAGTCTAGCCTCAAACTTGATGATCCTCCTGCTTCAGCCTCTTGAGTAGCTGGGATAATAGGTATGTGATTATAGGCATGTGACACCACGTCAGGTGCTTTTGAATAATTTTTAAAGACAATATTTTGTGTAGTATTTAAAATTTTAAAATGAGATTTAACTTATTTTTTCTCTAAGGTATTTTTTTTTCAGGTTCCATTTCAACTGATCTCTCTCTCTCTCTCTGTCTCTCTCTCTCTTTCTTTCTTTCTTAAGGTAACTGTGGAAAATTTTTTGCGGGTATTAACTGGGAGGATCCCATCTAGTACTCCTCGGTCAAAACGACTTCTTTCTGATGATAGAAGCAATATTCTTATTTATATGACAGGTAATTTTAGGATTTAGAGATTTCTTAGTATAATATGTTGAAACTCTTTGAAGAGAAATTCATGGGCATTAAACACGTTAAATGATTTGGGGTTAAAATAGTTTTTTGTCATGTAGTTTTGTCTTCTCACGATACAAAACTATTTGAAATGACATTTGAAAATGGTATAGGTTGAGCATTCATAAAAAATCTGAGATCTGAAATGCTTCAAAATCAAACTTTGAGTATCAATGTGAATGACACCAGTAGAAAATTCCACACTGACCTCACATGAGAAAGTAGGCACACTAAAAATAATGCATAGAACTACCTTCAGGCTATGTGTGTAACGTATACCTAAAACATAAAATTTATTTTATTTTAGACAAGGATCTTATCCCAAAGATATCTAATTATGTAGAAGCAAATATTTCCGAATCTGAAATCTGAAGTACTTCTGTTTCTAACAGTTTGGAACAGCAATACTCAGCCTTTATAACATTTTGTGCTATTGCTGTTTTCTTGTCCTTTTGCTCTTTACTCTTGCCTTGGTAAAGTTTACTACCTTTTACTTTGTACACTGCTAAAGCATCTCTCTTTCAGTTTTGTTTTCCTGTTAGTCATCCTGCTTAAAATGTTTATTAGAAGTTGCAAATTTGTCTGTCCTCTGCTTAAAACTTCAAATGATTTCCTATTGATTGAATCTCAGATTTTGTGTGTATAAAGTATAAAGATTAACTGAATGTAGACACTTAGACCTTATCTTAAAATTCTTATTCAGTTTTGTTCTGGAGTGTGGGTTCATGAAATTGCATTGTGAACATACTTATGAAATGTAAGATGTAGTAGTCTTTTGACTATATGTTAAGGAACTTTATTGGACATAATGTTCTCCATAATATAATAGTTAAATACTATATATAATAATATGTTATTATTTTTTAATATTATTTAATTTTACATATTATTTAATTTCGGTCTTAATTCTTACACTTTTTCTAAGTATAAGCTCTTGGCTGTTCTGTCCTCCAGATATTTACTTAAACTGTTGCTTTTGCTTATGACGTCCTCTCAATCTACTCTGCCTACGTGACTATCACTTATCTTTTGTTGTTAGCTCAGGAGTTTCCTTTCTAAGTCTAAGGTGATTTTTGTTTCCAGTTGCCTAGAAAGCCCTAGTTTATATCTCTTGTCCCAATAATTATTGATTTTGAATTCTAAGATATAATCATCAATTATATGTTTTTCATCTTTTTATGATCAGTACCTATCTTATAGTAGTATTTAGTAAATGTGAATGTTATAGTAGTATTCAGTAAATGTTATGAAAAGGTATTCAATAAATATTTTAGAGAGCTTTTCATTAAATTGATAGTAAAAGAGCTGCAGAATGATTTCTTAGATGTCATATGGCAGGGTAGGTAATGATCCTAGCTTAGTGGCTTTTCTTTATCATGTTGCATTTATTTACCACTTTTTAGATCCTGTTTATTTATTTTATAAATTAACTCAACAGCATTAATGAAGTCCAAAATCTTTCATTTTATTTTATGTGAAAATTATAAGAAAATTATATGCTTTGTTGGCAAAGAAAATGAAATATAGTTTTATAGCCTAACTTTAGTTGATGTGTTAAAAGATTTACACATTTTTCTTCTAATTATGTGGGTTCTTTTTTAGAATAACTCATGATGTAGAAGACATTCCAATAGTTTAAGATACAGCTTGATAAATTATCACCCCTGAATGTCTGCCTGTTTTGGAAAAAATTCTTATTGAGACACAGTTGCACCTATTCATTTACATATTTTTCTCAACTGTTTTCACCCTATAATAGCAGAGTTCAGTAGCTGTGACAGAGACCACATGGCTCATAATCCTAAAACATTTACAGTTTATAGAAAAAAGTTGCCAACCTCTGTAAGAGAATATAAAGGCTGATAATTATAATGTGATAAAAAAGATAATAACTAATAGTTATTAAGACTTACTGTACATTATGTAATATCCTAAATTTTACATACATAAAATTTATATATAAATAAAAAATACAAAAAACAATAACACACACATATATTTCATCCTCATAGCAGCTTGATGATTTAAGTGCTAATATTCAGGGCTGCCATATATGGTAATAAGGGTTTTACACACAAGCATATGACTTGGGATTAAGTGGGAGTTAAAATTTAGTGTATGTTTATACTTATTAAACTGCATGCCATGCTGCAGAATTGTGTCTAATAGGAGGGAAGAATATTCCCCCTGCCTCACCACATAGGCATAGTCACTAACCACTTATGACCTCACAAGAATGCATAATATCCAGAGGAAGACACTAAAATAGTCAATCTTTTCTACAAAACTACTGTAGTTTTATTCAGTGGAAGGTACAATTTTAGTAATCTGCACAAAGGAACTATAAAAGCAAACTAGGTGTGATCTTGCTGGTATGTTTCTCACTTATGGCTGAGGAAACTGAGGCATAGATTAAATTATTTGCCTAAAATAACACAGTAAATGGCACAGCTAGATTTGAATCTAGGCAGACTGGTTCTTTCATACATACTGAATGTCACAGTCTTTTAGCCAAGTCTTATGGGATTATTGTCAGTGATAGTAAAAATGTCAATTTCTAGGTGAGAACTGCAGTTCCTAGTATTAATAACATTCTAAGTATATACACTGTGAATAGTATAGTCATATCATGGGACTAGCTAGTGTCTTGAACTCTTTCCTCATCAAAAATGTTTACATGGCATTTGAAAAAATTTTATGTCTGGAATAAATTTTGGATGTAGTAATGGAGCCAGTAGAAGAGTATAAATATGGGTTTCTGGAATTGAATGATAGAAAAACTCATATCTTCAATATTTCTCTACTATTTTTTACACAGTCTATCATAATCCTCTTCTTAATTGATATGGTAGAAGATTATTTGTTTCCATAGTAAATATTTTAGAGCATAAAACAAGTGATATTAAAAATTTGCAATGCATGAAGTAAGTGTACATGTTTGGATGTGTGCAGTTTGCAATTAAAAAAATATATCTATTTTTGACTTGACTTTTTGACTCTTCCTACAAGGACATGGTGGAAATGGTTTTTTGAAATTTCAAGATTCTGAAGAAATTACCAACATAGAACTTGCAGATGCTTTTGAACAAATGTGGCAGAAAAGACGGTAATTAGAAAATGATTTCTTTTCATAAAATAAATTAATACCTAAATACCTATTTTTTATGATAGATTCCTAGTTCTTATTTAATAAATTTTACCTTACTTTGATCTTTTCTTCCATATTTAAAATTTGTTTGTTATACATTAAACTGTGTTTTTTAAAGGAAAAACTCAAGGGTTATTATTTAACATGAAAAAAATCGATGTTTTAAAATTAACTCTCCTGTAATTTAGCATCCTTTTTGGGGGAGAGTCCTTTGTAAGCATTCTTTTATTTGAGAATTGTTGTATATATGAGCTTACGTGAACTCAAAGTAAACAATAGAACTGCTTTTAGCTTGATTGCACTTATGGGTTACCTTCTGTACACATGGCACAAAGGGAAATATGATGCTTATTCTGCCTTCAAAGTGTTTAAAATCTAATATAAGAGAGAAATGTATACATAAGCATACTACAAAAATTATCACTTTTGAAATATAAACAGAATGTATGGAAGTATTGAAGAGGAAATTTTATTTGGTACTGGTTGTTTTATCTGGTGCTTAAATTTATTGCATATTAGGTACTGGACACTGTGTTTTTCATGAATTATCTTAATTTCAGTAGCAACTCTGTGAGATAAGTACTATTATTTTCCAGTTTTTAACAAATGAGTAAGCTGAGGCACAGATAGGTTAAGTAACTCACTAAACTTTATGCAGCTGATAGTGCCAGAGCTAGGATTTATGCCCAAGTGGTCTGATCACAGAGCTTGCTTTTAGTTATTTTACTATACTGCCTTAATAATTTCAGAGGTTTCTGATCCTGCACAAATATTGTCGCAGAACAAATATGTCATAGTAATTGTATCTTCTGTCATTCTCTTGGACTTTGTGGTTCAAGATTCTATATATCCTTTTCTAGGAGCATTATTAGCTGTTTACTCAGACCAAATGTCTGAGGAAAACTTCCACCAAAACCTATCTACCTCTTACTTTTACCTTCACCAGTTATCTACATTTTTGTAAAAAAGAGATTTGATTGTGTTGTTCTTTCACTTAACAACAAAACAAAAGAGAATAAAATACCACTTTGGTGGCTTCCTCAAATATACAGAATCTTATTGAAAGAGACTTCATATGGTATCTTTACAAATTGACCCTACCCCACCTTTTTAACAACCAGCTTCTCTGCAATACCTCAAATTTACTCTTTCTAAATTTTTACATTGTTTTTGTTCACATTAGGTGCTTTTTATTCTGTTGGAATCTGTTCTTTCCCTAAGAGATAAAATAATGCTCACCCTTCATTGCCCATGCCAGGTATCACCTTTCTGTGAACCTTTTCTTTTCAGCTCCCTCTATTCCTTTCACAGTGCTCATAGAGTACTTTGCTTTGTTAGACTGTAAACTCTTTGAGGTCAGGGGTTTTTGTATCCCCAGCGTAATGTCAGGGACATTATAGATGCAATATATGTTTGTAACACTTACCTCATTTCAATTTAGTTTTATTTTAAGCTCTTTGAGTATGGTGACTAAGTCACCTTCCTCTTCCCCACACATTTTTTTTTTTTTCTGAACCTCGTTCAGTTTCTAGGACAGTGCCAAATTAGTGGTTGTTGAGTTGAATATTCACTTGGTTCTGAATAATGTGACATCGACAAGGGAGAAGAACTTAAGTTGAGGCACAACTACTACCTGTTCAGGTGGTTTCCCTGCATAGGATTATACCTTTAACTTTTCAAATGATAAATTTCTATTGAAGACTCCACATTTTTAGTTAATGAAATAGCTAAGACAACACAAATATCTTATGTAATAGAAGTATTGTAAAAATATTATTGTATGATTAATACAGCATGATCTGTGACAAAAAATATTATCACTTTTCTTTCAGGTACAATGAGCTACTATTCATTATTGATACTTGTCAAGGAGCATCCATGTATGAACGATTTTATTCTCCTAACATAATGGCTCTAGCTAGTAGCCAAGTCGGAGAAGATTCACTCTCAGTATGTATATTTTCCCAATTTGTAAATGATACTGTTTTTGGAATGTGTAACTATTTCTGAAATCACTTGAATAGTTTTAGAATATACCTATTATTTTTCATTCTTATACTTTTTAACACAGAGGAAATTTTAATTATATTTTAAGCATTTTGTTACAATGATACTGTTGGACAATATGCTTTTTTTTTTCTCTTTTCATAGCATCAACCTGATCCTGCAATTGGAGTCCATCTTATGGACAGGTATACATTTTATGTATTGGAATTTTTGGAAGAAATTAATCCAGCTAGTGAAACTAGTATGTATGACCTTGTAAGTATGCCTTTGATTTGATTATAACACATAGGTATGTTAATGTGATAAATGAAGTTGATTATTCTTTGGAACCCTCTGGATTAGTGTTTCTAATGTTGAATTATGGCCTGTTAAATTGTTTTGAATCTTCCTTCCTATTAGTATCTTTCTCTTTATCACAAAAGATCCAAAGCTTCAGCCTAGTTAACTTGCTATTCCTGAGGTATTTCCCTGTTTTCATTGGTTTACTCATTCTCTTTTCCCTATCAGAAATGTAATTTTTTAAAGATTAATCTTTTGAAATTCTATCTATTCTTCTGGGGTCAAATCAGACGTATCTTCTCTAAGACGTCTATTCAAATGCTTTCTTTTGGAATTTTTTTTACCTTTTCAGAATTTCCATAGAATTTTATTTATTTTGTGACCATTATTACGGTTTTTCTTTTTTAAATTTATTTTATTATTTTTTAATTTAATTTTGTTTATTTATTTTTTTATGTGGTGCTGAGGATCAAACCCAATGCCTCACACATGCTGGGCTAGTATTCTACCACTGAGCCCCAGCCCCGGCCCCAGCCCTACAGTTTACCTTTTTTTTTTTAATGTAAATTTTAAAAATTTATATATGAGAGCAGAATGCATTACAATTCTTATTACATATAAAGAGCACATTTTTTCATATCTCTGGTTGTATACATAGTATATTTACACCAATTCGTGTCTTTATACATGTACTTTGGATAATAATGATCATCACATTCCACCATCATTAATTACCCCATGCCCCCTCCCTTTCCCTACAGTTTATCTTTTATTGACCAGCGTGAAAGCCTTTCTATTTAATGGGAAACTCCTAAATGAAAGGAACCATTGTTATCTATTTTTATGTGCCCTACAACTTCTGCTATAATCTTTTGACATCATTTGTTGAATTTCACTCAAAAATCTTTCAGACTTTTCTGTGCTGATTATGTATTTTTAATTAAATGAACTTTAAGTTGCTTTTGAAAAGCAGGAATAATAACAGCTTGAAACAATTCTAGGCTGAATAAATTACTGTGTGTAAATGACTTTCTCTTCTTGTTTCTTTTAACTTATACCTTCCTCATTTACTCACAAACATTTGAGTGCTTACTAAGTGCTAATCAGTGGCTATTCCCCAATGAATAGGCATACACTGTTCCTGCTTTTGTGGAGTTTAGGAACGGAGACTGAGTAGGCAGGCTCCCTCTTATCCACATCAGCCCAGCACCTTTGCATTGATCTTTTTAATTATATAGAAACACATTCTTTGGTAAATTTTCTTTTACAAAGGGGGTTCTGCTGTAAAATTCTGAAAACGACTGCTATAGCCTATCAAATTTAATAGAAGTATTTACTTCAGTTTTAAGATTATATATTTTGATGCCTGTTAAGTCTTGATTTGAATTTTAAAACAAAACTTATGACAATGATGCTTTAATTTCAAGAAATAATAATTACCTAAATTCCAGTTACTTTAAAAGTTTAGTCTTGCTTTTGGATTCTACATTGTATACTTTATATAATTCTTGACGTATTCTCAAAAGTGTAAAATATATGAACTTTATATTTTAAATGTCTAATGCATTTAAAAAGTACTTCCATTGAAATTCTGTGGGAGTGAGGAAACTGTTTTTTTTAATTGTTCACAATTGTGATTTATTTTTAAATAAACATTCCTTGCTAATATCTGATCTTTCCCTTTTACCTCTGTTAAAAAAAAAAAAAAAACACTATATATTTTTGGTACTGGGGATTGAATCTAGGATCTAAGCACTCCATTACTGAGGTACAACCTCTACCCCCTCCTTTTTTTTTTTTTTTTTTGTTTTGAGATGGTGTTGCTGTGTGAAACTCTACATCCTCCTGCATTAACCTCCTGAGTAGCAGGGACTATAGGCGTGCACAAATATGCCCAGTTCCATTTTAAAATTTAATGATAACTTTTTTAATCTTAATTCAATCAGGATGGCCCATATTGTTGCAGTATACTAGTACAGTGATTTGACATATCTGTATATCATTTTTGTAATAATAGTTATTTTTTATTGGATTATATGTATGCAGTAAAATTTACTGAGAATCAGCTGCATTCTGAGTACCATATATATTGGGTGTTTCAGTAACCACAAAATTAGAGGGCTTGGTGTGTAGCCCCTAAATGTCATAGAAAGCAGTTAGCACATTTATAAATTGTTACCTGTTATATGAAGTCTCTGAACCCTCTAGGTAATATTCCTTTGTGAATATATAACTCCTGCATATGCTTTTATTATACTTTTATTGTTACAATATCAATGTTTAGATTTGTGATGTACCCTTCTGCACAAGAAAGTGTTTTCTTTTTTGTTAATTTTTCAACTTTTTAAGTTATTATTAATTTTTTGGTACCAGGGATTGAACTCAGGGGCACTAGATCACTGAGCCACATCCCCAGCCCTATTTTTTTGTATTTTATTAGAGACAGGGTCTCAGTGAGTTGCTTAGCATTTCGCTGAATTGCTGAGGCTGGCTTTGAACTCGTGATCCTCCTGCTTCCGCCTCCCGAGGTGCTGGGATTACAGGTGTGCGCCACCATGACTGGCTTTAAATTAATTTTTAATTGGCACAATATATGCAATAGTGGGATACCTTATGATATAATTATACATGCACATAACATAATTTGGTCAGTTTCATTCCCCAATACCTCCACTTTGGGTCTAACCTTCTTAAATAAAAGATGTAAGGACTATCTATGCTTTATGCATCTTAATAACCACTTAACTTGATTATGTACCTGGTCTATTTGTAGATGCTCATTGAATATTTATTGAATGAATGAATGAACATAACAGCAGTGCACATGTATATAGTTCTTTTAAATACATTTTTTCTTGGAGGAGGTAAATTTTTAAGTTTGAAGGGAAAGAAATATAGCACACTTTAGGGAAATGGAGTACTTGCAGATGGACAAAAGTTGCAATAACAGGTGATTCTTCAATAGTAAACATATAGCCTGTCTGGAGTATGGAGATTCTGTTAGTAAGGAGGATTATTGAAAATTAAACTTAGTAATGTAGGATTTGTGGTCTCTATTGTAGAGGTTAAGGAAATCAGATTGATATGAGAAACATTCTTGAAGGGAAGAATGACTTCATAATAAGTGGAAGTATATTTATTTTAGTATCAAACAGTATGGTAATACTTCTCAGTGTTTCTCAAGCTCATTTGACTACTTTTTCTGTTTTGTTCTGCTGGGGTACCTAATAAAGCCTATCAAATTGCTTTCACAGGAATGCTCTCAGAGGCATTCGGTATACCTGGGGCTTCAGTCTTATCTCTGTTTATTTTATCTTTTGTTTATTCAACCTTTCATGTGTTGTGTCCTTCCTGGTGGACATTTCACCTTTTTGAGCTTCTTTCTTTTTCCCTTCCTTTGCTTTTAATTTATGTCTTATTTCCTTCTTTGTATTTATTTTGTATTTTCCTTTTCTGAACAGGGAAGGCAAAGATTACTGATAATGTGATGTTAGTTAAATTGCTTAATCTCATTGAGCCTTAGTTTAAAGTGGAGATGTATACTCAGAGCTATTAGTAGGCTTAAATGAGAGTCTTTTCAAATTGCTTATCACGTTTCTTGGAACACTTGTGTTTCATAAACTTGATGCTCAGTTCTTCCCCACCTCTTTCCCTTCCTATTGGTAATTCCCTATGCAGCTGGTCTTGTCTTCACAGGTGGGAGGTGCTGTGGGCCTGAGTACTTATTGGTAGGCTTGTGATTGTTTCTTTCCTATACCCTGTGCTTCAGCCAAACTAGATTGTTTTATGCATCTCTGCACTGATCCTATATTTTCCTTTCTATAAAGACTACTTTTTCAAACATAGCTTAATTCTCACAATATCTTTTTTTCTCTTCCTCAAACTATAAGAAATTCATCTTTTTCTGAAGTAAAACCTGTCATTTTCCCTACCTTGTTATGTTTTATTTATCTCTAACCTAAGACATAAAGCCTTTACAGGAAATTTTATCATTCTTTGAATTCTCTATGGAAGGTAACAGTGGGAACTCTATGAAACAGATACTTTTTATGCTTTGCAGAATGGAATAATTTGTGTCTGTTCTTGATAATTCACTGATGTTGAATATCAGATATAAGATTAACACAGAAATTTTTGTGGCATCTGTATAAGTGGTGAACCATTTATAATGGTTTTCACATTATATTCTTTGGAACAGTAGAGTGGCTGTAGAGGTGTTTTGGGCTTATTTTCATCATTGATAAACAGAATTAATTGATTTATAAAATGGTACAAAATTGCACAGCAAGAGCAAGGGGTTAGGTATTGGGGAGGTTACATGTCACCTACTTGAAACCCAGACTTTCTCCACTTAAATCTTTTTTTTTTTTTTTAATGTACTTGGCTATCATGTTACATTTTATTTGAACTTTGAGTCTAGGGTCATGATTTCAAAATGTCTGAAAACCATTCAGGTAGAGAGAGTACCCTTCTGAAGTGGACTTAGATATACACAAACAAAAAATTCTGTTTTCATAATGCTGACTGTGAAATCTCGATGGATTTAGGAGTTCAAAATATGTTTTGTAGCATATGATTCAAGAAAATGAATTTTTTTCTCTCCAAGGACAGCTTTTCTTTTTTCATTGTTCTGATGTCTATATATCTGTATAGTTGTTATTTTAGAATATCAAATATTATAATAGGAATGAGACATTTATTTTTCCCCCTGAAACTGGAGATTGTACTAGGGGTACACTGAGCTACATTCCCATTCCTTTTTATTTTGAGACAAGGTCTTGAATTTGAACTGGCCTTAAACTTGCCATCCTCCAGCCTCAGCCTCTTAAATTGATGGGATTATAGATAGGAGTGCCCAATGAGACTTTAATCTTTAGAACCAGTAGCCTCTTTATATTTGGGGATTTTTTTTTTTTTTTTTTTTTGTACCAGGGATTGAACCCAGGGGCCTTAACCACTGAATCACCTCCTCAGCCCTTTTTATTTTATATTTTGAGATGGGGTCTCACTAAGTTGCTTAGGGTCTTGGTAAGTTGTTGAGGCTGGCTTTGAACTTGTGATCCTCCTGCCTCAGCCTCCTGAGCCAATAGGATTATAGGCATATGCCACCATGCCTGGCTTGGAAAGTTTTAAAGATACATTACAGTTTTCTATATTGTGTCACTGGATTTAATAAAAGTTGTATGTATATGTGTGCATGTGTGTATTTATTAGTATTTTTTTTCCTAGTTTCAGGTATGTCCCAAAAGTCTCTGTGTTTCTACTCCTGGACATCGTACTGATCTTTTTCAGAGGGATCCTAAAAATGTCCTGATAACTGATTTTTTTGGGAGTGTACGGAAAGTGGAAATTACAACAGAAACTATTAGTTTGCAACAGGATTCAGAAATCATGGAAATCAGGTATTCATCTTAAATTGTTATTTGAATAGTCTATTCTCATAATTTGTAAATTTTTATGAAAAACATCAAGAGATGAAAGTTAGTGTTTGTCTGTAGTTTCACATTTCTACCCAATATTCATTTTATATAGGCCACATGCTTTACAGATTTATGGACAAAAACTTAATAATAAATATTAGTGGAAAGTTAAGATTATGATTAAGATTATGTTGGCATTTTAAAATGCAGTGTTGGTAGTAGTGCAGTGTGAGACTTGCTAAGACCTAAAACTTTGCCCCTAACTGGCCATTATAGAACTACACTTTTCACTTTATTGGAACTCTTGGTAATTCATTAGGGAGAGGCATAAGAGAGCTATAAGCCAGATACTTCCTTTTTGAGGAGTGGATTGTTGTGCATGTATATTTGTGTGAGACAGGTTGAAAGAAATTGGTTAACTTTGGGTAAATTAATTTTAGAAATATTTATAATGCTCTTTTTTTTCCTAGAAGGCAAAAATATCTCATTAAAATTAAATAATGGCTTGATTAATAGCCACTTTCTTGAAATATGTAACAATATATTTTGTTAGCTGTATAACTTAATTTGTTATTGTCTAATGCTATTGTCTCATGATGTCATACTCTAGGGAACTTCCCTGGCTTGTTAAATGGCAACATATAAAATTCTCACAGTTTTGAACATTTCAGAGATTTCTAGTTGAACTTAGAATGTGGTAGGAATAAATCCTAGCACAAAATACTTATTTATTTATGAATATTTAGAATTGATATTGCTACCTGTTCTGGGTATTCAAAGTCTTATATTTTTTCTTTCCCAATTTCCTATTTCTATAGTCTTAAAAAAGGTGTTAAGGCAGTAGATTAAAATCCTACAGCAATATTTATTACCTTTATTTTTTGTTTAAATAACAGCTTTCAAATTGCCTCTGTAAAAATGGCTAAACTGTACTTTAACAAATGAGTATTATGTCTTTTACTAAATTCATTCTATAATTCTCCTTGAACTTGATCCTATAAAAGATAATATTTGCCCTTGCCCTTCTCTGAACCATCCGAACATTGAATTAATCTCCTTTATAGGCAAGGACCATCTTTTTACTGCTTTACTTATTTTCTGTTCTCTCAACATACAATATTAAATATATAGTGATTGGACAATAAAAAATTGTTTCACTGGAATTCTGTTGTATGTTCTGGAAGAATGGAAATTTGCCTCTTCAGTTTTCTCTGTGTATTAATTTTTTTTTTTTTTTTTAGAAAGAATTTTAATATTTATTTTTTTTTTAGTTATCGGCGGACACAACATCTTTGTATGTGGTGCTGAGGATCGAACCCGGGCCGCACGCATGCCAGGCAAGCGCGCTACCGCCTGAGCCACATCCCAGCCCCTCTGTGTATTAATTTGAAAGCAAAAATTGTTAGTGCTGAAGATATCTTAATTTATTCTGTGGAAAATATTTTAAGCTTTAAAGCCAGACAGCAAGCATTGTTGAATTAGAGCACCCTCTAGTGTTTGTAGATGAATTTTATTTAGGTTGTTTACCAGGTAGTTTCATAACTCCTAAGCTGGATCTGGTGGCATGGGCCTGTAATCTTAGCCATTCCCAAGCTCAGGCAGGAGGAGTGTTGTAGTCTAGGCATTAGGGGTAATAGGACAATATAAGAGACTCCATTTTTTAAAACAAATTTACTTGTATACTTTATTCAACTAATATATGAGAATTTAGTTCTCATTGTGCTCCCAGGAATTTTTTACATGAATGTTACAGATATTATCTCATTGTATAAAGGTTCTATTTACATGTATTTATGAATGACAATTGGAAGTTCTTTTAATAATCGTTTTTTCCCCTACCCTTTTTATTGGTGCATTACAGTTGTACATAATGGTGGAATTTGTTGTTACATATTTGTATGTATACACAATATAACAATATAATTTGGTCAGTTTGGCTCCCGAGCACTTTGCCCTTCCCTTTCTACCTTTCACCTCCTGGTTGCTTTCCTCTGTTCTACTGATCTCCCTTTCATTTTAATGAGATCCCTTTCTCTCACCTTTCTTTTCCTTTTTTCTCTAGCTTCCACATATAAGAGAAAACATATGATCCATGACCTTTTGGAGTTTGGCTTATTTTGCTTAACATAGTGTTCTTCATTTCCATTCATTTTCCTGCATGACATAATTTTACATTTCTTCGAAATGAATTTTAGGATTGTTTTTTTCTAGTTCTGGGAGAAATGTCATTTGTATTTTGATGGGATTTACATTGCATTTACAATGGATTACAAACAGTGTAATCCATTGTTTGACACTGGCCTTTTAAAAGATATTTTGTATATCTTGTTTTGATAGTATGGCCATTTTAACAATGTTAATTCTGCCTATTTGTGAACATGGAGGTTTTTCCATCTTGTGTGTTTTAAATTTCTTTCTTCAAAGTTTTATAGTTTTCATTGTAGAGTTCTTTTACCTCCTAGTTTAAACTTATTCCTATTGTGAATGGAATTGCTTTTCTGATTTCCTTCTCAGCAGAATTCATTGCTGGTTTATAGGAAAGGTATTGATTTTTGTATGTTGATTTTGTAGCCTGTTACTTTGCCAAATCTATTAGTTCTAGCAATCTTTTGGTGAAGATTTTGGATCTTCTAGGTAAAGGATCATATCATGTACAAATAGTGATAATTTGACTTTTTTCTATTTTTATCCCTTTTATTTCCTTCTCTTGCCTAATTGCTCTTGCTAGAATTCCTAGTAGTATATTAAATAGGAGTAGTGAGGTAGGATATCCTTTTCTTTTTCCAGATTATAAAGAAAATGCTTTCAGTTTTTCCCCATTTATTATGCTTTGGGTTTTTCACATATAGCCTTTATGGTGCTGGGGTAGCTTCCTTCTATCCCTAGATTCTTCAGTGTTTCTGTCTTGAATAGCTGTTGAATTTTGTTAAAGGCTTCCTTTACATGAAAGCTTATTTAGAGAACAGCATATTCACCAAAAATTAGATATCAACTATTTTGTTAAGGAAGTTATAGCCTAGAATGTTTATCTAGTTTTTTCAAACTTTAGTTTGAAATATCAATACAATATTATTAAAATTGGTAGTTGTGCCTTAAAAATATTACTTCTACATATATTTTAAGGAAACAGTATAATCCATTGGTTGAAATTGGCTTTTTAAAAAATATTTTGTGTAATAGTCTAGTATATACTACTAATCAGATATGATAGAAGATATTAATACATAAAATTGACTGATGTAGTTTCATGGAATAAGAATTGTTTTAGTATTACTGTTTTCTGAAACTTAGGTATATTGAGTAAAATAAAGTTTTAATGGTATAATGAACTTGGGATTGTGAATATCTCTGACAAACTTGAATTTCATTTCCTTTGGATATATAACCCAGAAGTGGTATTACTGTATTATTTGGTAGTTTTCTTTTTAATTTTTTTCAATTTGTTTTAGTTGTAGATGGACACAATACCTTCACAATAAAATAAATAAATATTTAATTTATTTATTTTAATGTGGTGCTGAGGATCAAACCCAGTGCCTCACATATGCGAAGCAAGCACTCTGCCACTGAGCCACAACCTCAAGCCTTGTTTTTATTTTTTGAGAACCTTCATACTATTTTCTGTAATAGTTGTACTAATTTACGTACCCACCAACATTGCATAAGAATTTCCTTTTATCTATATCTTTGCATTTTTGATAGTAATCATTTTAACAGGTGTGAAGTGTCATTTCATTGTGTCTTTAATTTGTACTTCCCTGATGATTATGATGTTGAACATTTTTTCATATGCCTGTTGGCCATTTATATGTTTTTGAAATATGTCTGTTTAGATTCTTTACTCATTTTTTGATTGGGTGATTTTTAGCTATTGAGTTATTTGAGTTATATATTTTGGACATTAACCTTTTATCAGATATATGGTTTACAAGTATTTTCTTTCATTCTGTAGGTAGTCTCATTGCAATATTGATTTTCTTTCTTTCTCTCTTTCTCTTTCTCTCTCTCTCTCTTTCTTTTTTTTCCTATGTGATATTGAGGATCAAACCCAGTGCCTCACACATGCTAAGCGAGCACTCTACCACTGAGTTACAACCCCAGCCCTCTATTGATTGTCTTCTTTGCTGTGTAGAAGCTATGTAATTTGATGCAGTTCATTTTCCTGTTTTTGCTTTCTGTTGCCAGTGCTTTTGTGATCATATTCAAGAAATCATTGCCAAAACCAGTGTCAAAATGTTTTTGTTGTTGTTGTTTTGTTTTAATTCTTCTAGTAGTTTTGCAGTTCTAAGTCTTTAAGCCTTTAACCTATTTTAAGTTGACTTTGGTATTTGGAATGAGCTAAGGTTTCAGTTTCATTTTTCTGCATGTGGATATCTAATTTTCCCACCACTACTTATTGAAGGCACTGTCTTTTCTTCTGTGTTCTTGTTACCTTTGTTGAAGATTAGTTGATTTTATAAGAGTATGGATTTATTTCTGAGATTTCTCTTGTGTTCCATTGGTTTGTGTATCTGTTTTTCCACCAGTACTATGTTACTTTGTAATTTATTTTAAAAACAGCCATTGTAATGTTCACAGCTGTGTTCTTTTAGCTCAAGATTGCCTTGGTTACTATTGATTATTATTGCCTTGGTTGTTTGGGGGGTCTTTGTGGTTTCATACAAATTTTAATATTGATTTTTCTATTTCTGTGAAAAATGTTATTGGAATTTTGATACAGATTGCATTGAATATTTAGATTGCTTTAGATAGTGTTGGCATTTTAACATCTTTCTCAAATTCATGAATGTGGGATGTTTTCATTTATATATATCTTCAATTTCTTTCATCTTTGTTTTACAGTTTTCAGTGTGCAGATCTTTCACTTTCTTGGTGAAATTTATTCCCAAGTATTTTATTTATGTTTTATACTTTTGTAGATGAGATCAATTTCTTGACTTTCTTTTCGGATGTTCATTGATAGTGTTATGGAGATTTACATCTCCTCTGTTCATGATAAAGCCCAAAGAATAAATTGCTCATTGCTCATTCTAAATTTTACAAAAGACTTTGTGATCAACTCAGCTCATTCAAGTGCCCACCTCTGGTCCAACTGGGAAGTAATAAGAATCATATAACACAAAAAATATGACTGCTTGGGACCTACTCCATGTGAGTAAAGTGAACTCCCAGAAGTTAACTTGGAATTAGGCAGATACCTGAAGGATATTTAAATCAATCTCATTTAATCCACATGATAACTTTATGCAGCAGGTGCAGTTTCTCCATTTTATAGGTGTATAAACTGAGACTGAAAAAGGTTAAGAAACCTGCCTAAAGTCACATATCTAACAAACAGTAATACCAATATACAAATCCAGGAATGTCCCACACTCCTAAAAATTAAGTATTTAATTTTATTCTTTCATAATTTACTCTGAACAACTTGGCTTGCTTTCTTATAAATCTATTTCTAGGTGGATGTGGTGGCACATGCCTGTAATCCCAGCAGCTAGGGAGGTTGAGGCAGGAGGATCACAGGTTCAAAGTCAGCCTCAGCAACTTAGTGCGGCCCTAAGTAACTCATTGAGAACCTGTCTCTTAATAAAATATGAAAAGGCTCAGTGGTTAAGGCCCATATGTTCAATCCCTAGTAACCTCCACCAAATCATTTCTTCTATTATACAAACTTTAAATTGTATAAAAGGATACAATATGAAAAGGATATGAATAAAAGTAAGTTCTCACAGTGCAGATATTCATGTAATGACCAGATAAATAAACAGAAAATTGATGATACACTAGAAACTCCATATCCCTTTTGCCTTTTCCTCTACCCAGTCAACTCCCAACTCAGGGTAACCACTCTCTCAGCTCTTACGGAATTTATTTTCTTGTTCTTCATTTTAGTTTTATCCCCTAAGCATGGGTTCTTAAACACTATGTTTTGCTTCTTTTGCTAATATTGCCTTTGTGTAGTTCATTTATATTATTGTACATAGTTGAAGTTTGCTCATTTTTTCAGCTTTTTAAAAATGAAATATAATTTACTTTAAGTAAAATGACCTTCTTGAGTTTACATTTCTAAGTTTTAACAAATGCATATAGTTGGATAATGCCATATCTGTTCATCACCACAAGAACTCTTTTTTATGCCCCTTTCTATCCACTCTTTCCCTATGTTCTTTAAGCCCTTGATCTGTTTTCTGTCCCTGGTTTTTCCTTTATTAAATAGATGAAATCATACATTCTATAACTTTTTAAGTCTCCCCTCCCCCCCCCCCCCCCCCCGCTTCTGGTACTGGGATTGAACCTGGGGGTGTTACCACCAGCTATATACCCAGTCTTTTTAAAAATTTTTTTTAATTTTTTTTTATTGGTTGTTCAAAACATTACAAAGCTCTTGACATATCATATTTCATACATTTGATTCAAGTGGGTTTTGAACTCCCAATTTTACCCCAAATACAGATTGCAGAATCACGTCGGTTACACATCTACATTTTTACACAATGCCCTATTAGTAACTGTTGTATTCTGCTACCTTTCCTATCCTCTACTATCTCCCCTCCCCTCTCCTCCCATCTTCTCTCTCTACCCCATCTACTGTAATTCCTTTCTCTCCTTGTTTATTTTCCCATTACCCTCACAACCTCTTATATGTAATTTTGTATAACAATAAGGATCTCCCTCCATTACCATGCAGTTTCCCTTTTCTCTCCCTTTCCCTCCCACCTCATGTATCTGTATAATGTTAATCTTTTCTTCCTTCTCATCCTCCCTGCTTTGTTCTTAGTTGCTCTCATTATATCAAAGAAGACATTTGGCATTTGTTTTTTAGGGATTGGCTAGCTTCACTAAGCATAATCTGCTCTAGTGCCATCCATTTCCCTGCAAATTCCATGATTTTGTCATTTTTTAGTGCTGTATAATACTCCATTGTGTATAAATGCCACATTTTTTTTATCCATTCATCTATTGAAGGGCATCTGGGTTGGTTCCACAGTCTAGCGATTGTGAATTGTGCTGCTGTGAACATCGATGTAGCAGTATCCCTGTAGTATGCTCTTTTAAGGTCTTCAGGGAATAGTCCGAGAAGGGCAATAGCTGAGTCAAATGGTGGTTCCATTCCCAGCTTTCCCAGGAATCTCCATACTGCTTTCCAAATTGGCCGCACCAATTTGCAGTCCCACCAGCAATGTACAAGAATACCCTTTTTCCCACATCCTCTCCAGCACTTGTTGTTGTTTGACTTCATAATGGCTGCCAATCTTACTGGAGTGAGATGGTATCTTAGGGTGGTTTTGATTTGCATTTCTCTGACTGCTAGTGATGGTGAGCATTTTTTCATGTACTTGTTGATTGATTGTATGTCCTCCTCTGAGAAGTGTCTGTTCAGGTCTTTGGCCCATTTGTTGATTGGGTTATTTGTTTTCTTATTGTTTAATTTTTTGAGTTCTTTGTATACTCTGGATATTAGGGCTCTATCTGAAGTGTGAGGAGTAAAAATTTGTTCCCATGATGTAGGCTCCCTATTTACCTCTCTTATTGTTTCTCTTGCTGAGAAAAAACTTTTCAGTTTAAGTAAGTCCCATTTGTTGATTCTTGTTATTAACTTTTGTGCTATGGGTGTCCTATTAAGGAATTTGGAGCTCGACCCCACAATATGTAGATCGGAGCCAACTTTTTCTTCTATCAGACGTAGAGTCTCTGATTTGATATCTAGCTCCTTGATCCACTTTGAGTTAACTTTTGTGCATGGCGAGAGGAGGGGGTTCAGTTTCATTTTGTTGCATATGGATTTCCAGTTTTCCCAACACCATTTGTTGAAGATGCTATCCTTCCTCCATTGCATGCTTTTAGCTCCTTTATCAAATATAAGATAGTTGTAGCTTTGTGGATTAGTCTCTGTGTCCTCTATTCTGTACCATTGGTCCACCCGCCTGTTTTGGTACCAGTACCATGCTGTTTTTGTTACTATTGCTCTGTAATATAGTTTTAAATCCGGTATCGCTATACCACCTGATTCACACTTCCTGCTTAGAATTGCTTTTGCTATTCTGGGTCTTTTATTTTTCCATATGAATTTCATGATTGCTTTATCTATTTCTACAAGAAATGCCATTGGGATTTTGATTGGCATTGCATTAAACCTATAGAGAACTTTTGGTAATATCGCCATTTTGATGATGTTAGTTCTGCCTATCCATGAACAGGGTATATTTTTCCATCTTCTAAGATCTTCTTCTACTTCTCTTTTTAGGGTTTTGTAGTTTTCATTGTATAAATCCTTCACCTCTTTTGTTAGGTTGATTCCCAAGTATTTTATTTTTTTTGAGGATATTGTGAATGGAGTGTTTTTCCTCATTTCCGTTTCAGAAGTTTTGTCACTGATATACAGAAATGCCTTTGATTTGTGCGTGTTGATTTTATATCCTGCCACTTTGCTGAATTCATTTATTAGCTCTAGTAGTTTTTTTGTAGACCCTTTTGGGTCTTCTAGGTATAGAATCATGTCATCTGCAAATAGTGATAATTTAAGTTCTTCCTTTCCTATTTTTATGCCTTTAATTTCTTTCGTCTGTCTAATTGCTCTGGCCAGTGTTTCGAGAACTATATTGAATAGAAGTGGTGATAGAGGGCATCCCTGTCTTGTTCCAGATTTTAGGGGGAATGCCTTCAATTTTTCTCCATTGAGAATGATGCTAGCCTGAGGCTTAGCATAGATAGCTTTTACAATGTCGAGGTAAGTTCCTGTTATCCCTAGTTTTTCTAATGTTTTGAACATAAAGGGATGCTGTACTTTGTCGAATGCTTTTTCTGCGTCTATTGAGATGATCATATGGTTCTTATCTTTAAGTCTATTGATGTGGTGAATAACATTTATTGATTTCCGTATATTGAACCATCCTTGCATCCCAGGGATGAATCCTACTTGATCATGGTGCACAATTTTTTTGATGTGCCTTTGTATCCGATTCGCAAGAATTTTATTGAGGATTTTTGCATCTAGGTTCATCAGAGATATTGGTCTGTAGTTTTCTTTCTTTGAGGTGTCTTTGTCTGGTTTCGGAATCAGGGTGATGTTGGCCTCATAGAATGAATTTGGCAGAGCTCCCTCTTTTTCTATTTCCTGAAATAGCTTGAAAAGTATTGTTATTAATTCTTCCTTAAAGGTTTTGTAAAACTCTGCTGTATACCCATCCGGACCTGGGCTTTTCTTGGTTGGAAGTCTTTTGATTGCTTCTTCTATTTCATCTATTGATATTGGTCTGTTTAAGTTGTGAGTATCCTCCTGACTCAGTCTGGGCAAATCATGACTTAAGGTATTTATCGATGTCTTCACTATCTTCTATTTTATTGGAATATAGGTTTTCAAAATAATTTCTAATTGTCTTCTGTATTTCTGTAGCGTCTGTTGTGATATTGCCTTTTTCATCCCGTATGTTAGTAATTTGAGTTCTCTCTCTTCTTCTCTTCGTTAGCATGGCTAAGGGTCTGTCGATCTTATTTATTTTTTCAAAGAACCAACTTTTAGTTTTGTTAATTTTTTCAATAGTTTCTTTTGTTTCAATTTCGTTGATTTCCGCTCTGATTTTAATTATTTCTTGCCTTCTGCTACATTTGCTGTTGTTTTGCTCTTCCTTTTCTAGGTTTTTGAGGTGTAGTGTGAGTTCATTTATTTGTTGGTTTTTTCTTTTTTTGAGGAAAGAACTCCAAGAAATGAATTTCCCTCTTAAAACTGCTTTCATTGTGTCCCATAGATTCCGGTATGTTGTGTCTGTATTGTCATTTGTCTCTAAGAATTTTTTTATCTCCTCCTTTATGTCTTCTGTAACCCATTGATCATTCAGTAGCATATTGTTCATTTTCCATGTGATGTAGGATTTTTCCTTCCTTCTTTTATCATTGATTTCCAGTTTCATTCCATTATGATCAGATAAAATGCATGGGATTATCTCCACCCCTGTATATTTACTGAGGGTTGCCCTATGGCATAATATATGGTCTGTTTTTGAGAAGGATCCATGTGCTGCTGAGAAAAAAGTATATCCACTTGATGATGGTTGATATATTCTATATATGTCAGTTAAGTCTAGGTTGTTGATTGTGATATTGAGTTCTATAGTTTCTTTATTCAGCTTTTGTTTGGAGGATCTGTCCAATGGTGAGAGAGGTGTGTTGAAGTCACCCATAATTATTGTGTTGTGGTCTATTTGATTCTTGAACTTAAGGAGAATTTGTTTTATGAACGTCGCAGCACCATTATTTGGTGCATAAATATTGATAATTGTTATGTCTTGTTGGTGAATGGTTCCTTTTAACAGTATATAATGTCCTTCCTTATCCCTTTTGATTAACTTAGTCTTGAAGTCGATTTTATTCGATATGAGGATGGCCACCCCTGCTTGCTTACGAGGACCGTGTGCGTGGCATATTTTTTCCCAACCTTTCACCTTCAGCCTGTGTATGTCTTTTGCAATCAGATGTGTCTCCTGGAGGCAGCATATTGTTGGATTTGTTTTTTTAATCCATGTTACTAGCCTATGTCTCTTTATTGGAGAGTTTAAGCCATTAACGTTTAGAGTTACTATTGATATATTGTTTGTACTTCCATCCATGTTTGATTATTTATCTTCTTTTTTTTATTTAATTTAGTTTGTTTCTCCATGGTTAGCTTTCCTCCCACCCTCTGTTTTTATAGAGGCACTTCCCACTGATGGTTTTGGTTATTGTTTTTCATTTCTTCCTCGTGTAGTGTTTTGCTCAAGATGCTTTGCAATGCTGGTTTTCTGGCTGCAAATTCTTTTAACTTTTGTTTATCATGAAAGATTTTTATTTCGTTGTCGTACCTGAAGCTTAATTTTGCTGGATACAGAATTCTTGGTTGGCATCCATTGTCTTTCAGTGTTTGAAATACGTTGTTCCAGGATCTTCTCGCTTTCAGCGTCTGTGATGAAAAATCCGTTGTTAACCTTATTGGTTTACCCCTGAATGTAATCTGCCTCCTTTCTCTTGTAGCTTTTAATATTTTCTCTTTGTTCTGTATATTGGATATCTTCATAACAATGTGTCTTGGCGTTGTTCTACTGTGATTTTGTGTGCTTGGTGTCCTGTATGCATCTAAAATTTGTATATCCGTTTCCTTTTTTATTTCTGGAAAGTTTTCTGTAATTATTTCATTCAGCAGGCTACTCATTCCCTTGGTTTGAATCTCTGTACCTTCTTCTATCCCGATGACTCGTAGGTTTGGTTTTTTTATG